GTCTCTTTTTATGAGATCTGTTGGTCTTCTGTGAAAAGACCTGTTGCCATTCTATGAGGAGACCCCTAGGTCTATTAGGAGAAGAATAACCGAATTTCCAATAGGAGACCTATTGGTCTTCCAATAGATCACCCATTGATCTTCAATAAGAGAACACCTTTGGGCCTTTCAATAGAAAAATTTGATTTAGTTTTTTTTTTAATTTTTTAAAACCCCTCTTCTATCCTCATTTCAAGTCCTGATGGTCTCTTATTATAAGATCTGTTGGTCTTCTATGAAAAGATCTGTTGGTCTTCTATGAAAAGACCTGTTACCCTTCTATGAGAAGACCCCATTGGTCTATTAGGAGAAGATTTATCGATTTTCCAATTAAAGACCTCTTGGTCTTCCAATAGAGCACTCATTGGTCTTCTAAAAGAGAACACCTTTGGGTCTTTCAATTCAAAATTTTGATTTAGTTTTTTTTTTTTTGATACCCTACACCACATAGTGGTAAGGGTATTATGTCTTTGTGCATTTGTTTGTAACATGGAGAAGGAAGCGAGATAGACCCATAGTTACTTTTGAGGATCTGCATAGAATCACTTTCTGAGTTGATTTATGCATGTCAGTCCGTCTGTCCGTCTGTCCATGTATTATTGTGAACAAAATGCAGGTCGAATTTATAATCCGATTGAGATGAAAATTTGCATATATCATTTGTTTGGCTCAAGGACGAACTACTATTGAAATTGGATATAATCGGTTAAAATTTAGATATAGCTCCCATATATATGTTCGTCCGATTTGCTTTTTATTGTGCACCAAACGTGTAATGTCAGCCCGAATAGGCATAAAAATAAGTATGCCAAATTTGATCGAAATCGGTTCAGATATAGCTATAGCTCCCTTATATATTTAGTCATCCGATTTGTTATTTTTGTCCTCCGCAGTCGTAATATGCACTCTGTAACAACAATATTTGGGCAAATATATCAAATGCAGCTCAGAAATATCTTTGCCAAATTTTATCGAGATCGGTTCAGATTGGTTGGATATATCTCTCATATATAACTTCGTCCGATTTAACTTTTATTGTGCACCAAACGTCTAATATTTGCCCAAATGGGATGAAATTTTGCACTTACGACCGACTTGAGTCTAGAAGCTGGTATATCAAATTTGGTGAAGATCGGTTCAGATATAGCTATAGCTCCCATGTATATATTGTTCATCCGATTTGTAGTATTTCTTACCCACAGCCCCCGTTTTACTGTTTTTTTTTTTTAATTTTTTCAAAACCCCTCTTCCACCCCCCTTTCGCGTTCCCCACACAACGAAAAAACCTTCATTTGGTCTCTTTGGCACAAAGCAGACCTTCAGCGGTTGCAGAAAATTCGCACTAATCTCTCTCAATGTGATAACAAGTTTGTGTCTTAAGTCTTTCGTTTTGTTCAGCGTTGTATCACTCGATTTTATCAAATAATTGCATTCAAAAAAATGTGTAACGAATCTAAGGCCAGATTCAAATCCAAGCGCATCACTCATATTTATTTATTTTTTTTAATAAAAAATTATTTAAATATTTCTTTTGAAAAAACACAAATTAAGAAAATCAAAAAAAAAAAAAAAAAAACCCAATCTTCGAATCTGTCCTTGTCGGCAACTGCGTGCTAAAATGCCATTTAGCAAAGATGTTGAACAAATCCGACATTACGCATAAACGGCTTATCGACATTTGGACAAGTTGAATAGCAACAACAACAAACACATCGACCATTTCAATTCCATAATTCTTGTGAATGGTCAGTTTATGTGGCAGATTTCGAGAAGAACTGAAGAATGAAGACGACGACAACGGTGACGGTGATGAGGATGACGAAGATGTTGTTGTTGTTTTTGGTTTCTTGGCTTTCCATCTTCTCTGGCTTTCAATTTCGAACTAAATGATTCTGTTGGCCGTTGTTGTTATATTTGTTGTTGCTAATATTTGTTGTTTGATTTTATTTTTGTTTTATTTAACCTTTCACATGTTCCGATTGCATGGGTTTGTGTGTTGGCCTGCATACGTGTGTATGTGTGTGAGAGTGTGTGTGTGTTATATGAAATCTTGTTGTAATTTTTCTGCAATCTGCGTTGTTGTTGTTGTTGCTGGTGGTGTTCGAATTGAAAATGTCATGTCCGTTTGTAGCGGCAAATATGCTCGCATAAACGACGCCACAACTTAACCTGCGATCGGCAATTACTTAACCAAAGCCAAGAAGCGCACAAACCAAGAGATAGACAAGCCAACACACACACACACACTCTCACACACCAAACACTCTCCCAATTGACTATTTAAAGATTTCATTGCGTTTTGTTTTGGTTTCTTTTTCGAAAGCCAAATTGGGAAGACCCAAGCCTAACCAAAAAAAAAATCCATTTCCAAAGGTTAGCTCTGCGGCCCAGTGCAACAATAAATTGATTAATTGAGGGAATTGTGTGTTTATGGCTGGGGTGAGACATATAACATACACCTACCCCCCTCCTCCCCACTCTGGGGAGTTGCATTTTAAACATTTCCATCAAAATTTAAAACTTTGTGTGGAGCCATGCCAGGTTGCATGGCTGACATCCAAAAAGTAATTGTCTCAGATTTTGGCTTCAAATTTGGGTAATAATTAATTGATGTTTACACACACACGGGCTAACAATTAAACGGTTTAATTAAATAATTAATATTTCAAGTTTTTCACAATTTGTCGTTGATACGCTTCAGTTCAGATTTTAGATTTTTATCGAAAAATTATGCATTGCAGAAAATTATTTGAATATTTTTAAAGACAAGGACACATGTTTTGGTTATGGATTAAATGAAGGTTTTTTTATAGCTTAAAGAAAACCTGGAGATCTTCTATGGGCCATAGAAGAGCTGGAGGTCTTCTAGCGGCCATATAAGAGCTGGAGTTCTTCCTAGAAGGCCTAGAGGTCTTCTATTGCCTACAGAAGAGCTGGAGGTCTTCTACTGGCTATAAAAGACATGGAGGTTTTCTATTGCCAATAGAAGAGCTAGAGGTCTTCTATTGGCCACAGAAGAGCTGGAGGTCTTCTATCGGCCCATAGAAGAGCTGGAGGTCTTCTATCGGCCCATAGAAGAGCTGGAGGTCCTCTATCGGCCCATAGAAGAGCTGGAGGTCTTCTGTCAGCCCTTAGAAGAGCAGGAGGACTTCTATGGTCCATAGAAGAGCAGGAGGACTTCTATGGTCCATAGAAGAGCAGGAGGACTTCTATGGTCCATAGAAGAGCTGGAGGTCTTTTATCGGCCATAGAAGAGCTGGAGGTCTTCTATTGGCCATAGAAGAGCTGGAGGTCTTCTATCGACCATAGAAGAGCTGTAGGTCTTCTATGCGGCTATAGAAGAGCTGTAGGTTTTCTATGCGGCTATAGAAGAGCTGTAGGTTTTCTATGCGGCTATAGAAGAGCTGTAGGTCTCCTCTGGTCTATAGAAGAGCTGTAGGTCTTCTATCGGTCTATAGAAGAGCTGTAGGTCTTCTATCGGTCTATAGAAGAGCTGTAGGTCTTCTATCGGCCATAGAAGAGCTGTAGGTCTTCTATCGGCCATAGAAGAGCTGTAGGTCTTCTATCGGTCTATAGAAGAGCTGTAGGTGTTCTATCGGTCTATAGGTCTTCTATCGGTCTATAGAAGAGCTGTAGGTCTTCTAGCGGTCTATAGAAGAGCTGTAGGTCTTCTATCGGTCTATAGAAGAGCTGTAGGTCTTCTATCGGCCATAGAAGAGCTGTAGGTCTTCTATCGGTCTATAGAAGAGCTGTAGGTCTTCTATCGGTCTATAGAAGAGCTGTAGGTCTTCTATCGGTCTATAGAAGAGCTGTAGGTCTTCTATCGGTCTATAGAAGAGCTGTAGGTCTTCTATCGGTCTATAGAAGAGCTGTAGGTCTTCTATCGGTCTATAGAAGAGCTGTAGGTCTTCTATCGGTCTATAGAAGAGCTGTAGGTCTTCTATCGGTCTATAGAAGAGCTGTAGGTCTTCTATCGGCCATAGAAGAGCTGTAGGTCTTCTATCGGTCTATAGAAGAGCTGTAGGTCTTCTATCGGTCTATAGAAGAGCTGTAGGTCTTCTATCGGTCTATAGAAGAGCTGTAGGTCTTCTATCGGTCTATAGAAGAGCTGTAGGTCTTCTATCGGTCTATAGAAGAGCTGTAGGTCTTCTATCGGTCTATAGAAGAGCTGTAGGTCTTCTATGGTTTATAGAAGAGCTGTAGGTCTTCTATGGTTTATAGAAGAGCTGTAGGTCTCCTATCGCCCATAGAAGAGCTGTAGGTCTTCTATTGGCCATAGAAGAGCTGAAGGTCTTCTATTGGCCATAGAAGAGCTGTAGGCCTTCTATGGTCTATAGAAGAGCTGTAGGTCTTCTATTGGCCATAGAAGAGCTGTAGATCTTCTATGGTCTATAGTAGACCTGTGGGTCTGCTATGATCTGTAGAAGACCTGTGGGTCTTCTATGATCTAATGAAGACCTGTAGGTCGTCCATGGTATGCAGAAGACCTGTAGGTCTTCTATGGTCTATAGAAGACCTGTGGGCCTTCTTTGGTCTATAGAAGAGCTGTAGGTCTTCTATGGTCTATAGTAGACCTGTGGGTCTGCTATGATCTGTAGAAGACCTGTGGGTCTTCTATGATCTAATGAAGACCTGTAGGTCTTCCATGGTCTGCAGAAGACCTGTAGGTCTTCTATGGTCTATAGAAGACCTGTGGGCCTTCTGTGGTCTGTAGAAGACCTGTAGGTCTTCCATGGCCTTTAGAAGACCTGTAGGTCTTCCATCGCCTTTAGAAGACGTCTAGGTCTTCCATCATCTTTAGAAGACCTCTAAGTCTTCTACTGCCTTTAGAAGACCTGTAGGTCTTCTAATGCCTGTAGCAGACCTATGGGTCTTCTTTTTAATGCCGTTTATCCTATTTTCCCGTATTTCTTTTTTTTTTGTTTTTTTTTGTCTTATTTTCAAAATCATTTGTGACTTACTTGTAAAAAGCCGCATTCTGGATTCGAGTGATGATGGATGTTTTTTTTCTGTTTCTCTCTTCTGCGAAAATACAAATTCAAAACAAATCGTTTTGATATTTCACAAAAATCCGAAAATGAAAATCAAGCTAAGACTGGTGATGATGGCTGGCGCTGGCTGCCACTTGGTTACCAGCTGCTGCTGCTTCTGCTGCTTGGACGTTAACTTCGGCACTTTTAATTCAAATTTCAAAAGCAAAGCTACGACAATGCACGCGGTAATGTTAGTGGAGGGTTGGCGGGGGGAATGGTGAAGTGATTACTGAACGGATAATCTGAGTGTCGTTGGCTGGTGACGATAGATTAGGGGCTACCGGCTGTTGTTGTTGCTGCTGCTGTTACAGTTTCGAGTTGTTGTTGCTGTTGTTGTTGCTTTTTTGCAATAAATCCAACGAGCAACCCGAAAAAAATCTTCAGAAATTCGTGATTATTTTAATATTTCTTCAGTTTTTTCGTTACTGGGTTATGGTGGCTGATGATGTTGATATATTTTTGCAAAATATAAAAATTGTTGTTGTTTTTGTTGCTTCGAAAAATTACTTTATTTTGTGGGCCTTCTTTTGAATGTTTGTGCAAATAGATTGTATTGTTTTTGTTTTTATGACTTGAGATTCTTTTTTTTTTTTTGATTTTTTTTTTTTTGGATTTTCAGTTCACTTAGAATTCAAGTGAGTCTGTATATTTTTTATTTTATTTATTTTTTTTTTTGTAATTTTTGCCTGATTACTGTCTTTGAATTCTTGGTGTGTTCAGAATTTCCTCATTGGGGGCCATGGGGCAACCTTTGTTTTTGGTGGCACTACTCTCGTGGTTTGTTTTTTATTTATTTATTTTTTTTTTGGGTTTGTTTTCAAGTACTTCTGCAAGGGAAAAATAACTTTGAGAATAAATATATTTTCAATAATAATAGTAATTATTTTTTCAAAATTTTTTATTTGTGGAGGGCGTGTCTGTCTGTCGGCCTGGCCTTTTTTTGTGGCTAGGCCTAATGATTTTTTAATTTTTCGTTTTCTTAATGAGTTCGGCTTCTTTCTTCATTTTTTTATTTTTGGTTTTATTTTCATTCTTATTTTTTTTTTAACAAATTTATAATGTGGCATAAAATCTTTGGTATCAAGTGTTTTGATTGATTAGTTCCATGCTAATCTTTCGATGGATTCCTCAAGCGGAAGTTATTTGACGAACTTGTCTTTTTTTTTTTTTTTTTTTTTTTTTTTTTTTTGGATTCCATCTTCATTTCCCCTCTAGGGTTTTTTTGCTAATGATGATATTTTGATGATGGTGATATATTTAATAGGCCTATCCATCACAATTGGTATTAATCAAAGGGGTTTCGTATTTTTTTTTTATTTTTGAAAATATCAAAGGTTACATTGGATGAAGGGTTGGGGTCAGATGTTGCCCTTTTAGACCCAAAAGAAGCGACGATAGAAAAAAAAAAAAAAAAAACACAAAAATGATTCGATATTTGAAAATTTAATTTAGAAGGCACTAAAAAATTCTCGATGGTATGAAAAATACTCGAGCTGGAGGTCTTTTATTACCCATTGAAGAGAAATATAAGAGCTGGAGGTCGTATATTACCCATAGAAGAGCTGGAGGACTTCTATCGGCCGTAGAAGAGTTGGAGGTCTTCCATTGGCCGTAGAAGAGCTGGAGGTCTTCTATTGGCCATAAAGGAGCTGGAGGTCTTCTATTAGCCATAGAAAAGTTGGAGGTCTTATATTGGCCATAGAAGAGCTGCAAGTCTTCTCTTAGCCATAATAGAACTGGTGGTTTTCTATTGGCCATAGAAGAGCTGGAGGTCTTCTATCGGCCATAGAAGAGCTGGAGGTTTCCATTGGCCATAGAAGTGCTGGAGGTCTTTTATTGGCCAGAGAAGAGCTGGAGGTCTTCTATTGGCCATAGAAGAGCTGGAGGTCTTCTATCGGCCATAGAAGAGCTGTAGGTCTTCTATCGGCCATAGAAGAGCTGGAGGTCTTCTATCGGCCATAGAAGAGCTGGAGGTCTTCTATCGGCCATAGAAGAGCTGGAGGTCTTCTATCGGCCATAGAAGAGCTGTAGGTCTTCTATCGGCCATAGAAGAGCTGGAGGTCTTCTATCGGCCATAGAAGAGCTGGAGGTCTTCTAACGGCCATAGAAGAGCTGGAGGTCTTCTATCGGCCATAGAAGAGCTGGAGGTTTTCTATCGGCCATAGATTTTCTATTGGGTATAGAAGAACTGGAGGTCTTCTATTGGCCAAAGAAGAGCTGGAGGTCTTCTATTGGCCGTAGAAGAGCTGGAGATCTTCTATTGGCCAAAGAAGAGCTGCAAGCCTTCTCGTAGCCATAAAAGAGCTGAAGGTCTTTTATCATCCATAGAAGAGCTTGAGGTCTTCTATTTACCATAGAAGAGGTTGAGGTCTTCTATCGGCCAGAGAAGAGCTGGAGGTCTTCTATTGGCTGTAGAAGAGCTGTACGTCTTCTATTGCCCATTGAAGAACTGGAGGTCTTCTATCGGTCATAGAAGTGCTGTAGGTCCCATATTGTCTACAGAAGAAGCTGCAGGTCTTCTATTGGCCATAGAAGAACTGGATATCCTCTAATGGCTTTAGGAGACCTGGAGGTTTCTATTGGCCACAAAAGAGCTGGAGCTCTGGGAAAACGGTAGAAAACAACAACATCAGCAGAAATGGTTCGAAAAATAAAGAAGCGACTTGATTGAAACCCGCGTCGCAGTAGCCGAAAAATGTCTCATGAGCTGAACATATCGCAATATTCTATTTAGGAAATATTGAAAAATGAGCTCGGGATAAAGCCATTGAAATTCTAAAACAGTGCAAGAATTTACACCGCGACCATTTTGGCCGTAGAACTCATGCAAGCGCTTCGCCGGGAATGGGACAAAATACCACAGAACAACATTCGGGCAGCGTCTGACGGTTTCATTGGCCGTTTGAAGCCCATATTTCGTGCCAAAGGTGACCAATTCGAATAAATCTAAACTTATTCTAAAATTTGATGCTATTTCCGACATTTTTTGCTTCTGGAATCTGGACTAAAAAATTCTACAATTATTGAGTTCAACTAGAGTCGTCTAAGCAGCATGGCATTAAGAATGAAATTTCAAACGCTCTCAAAACCATGATCTAAGTCGAAACTTTTTTTTTAAATCCAGACTATTAAAGGTGAGCTTAGAAATATTTTATGAAAAAAAAATCAAAATTATATACCCATCACTGGAACTTAAACTAATTATAGAAGGACGATGATTTTGGAAAAAATTCCCTCTTTTTGAGATTTAAAAAAAAGGAACTATAAATCCACCACTCTTTAGTTAATTTTGAGTCTTCTAATATCTTAATCATTGAAATACTTGATTACAGAGCTAAGGCTGGAGGATTTCGAAAATCAAGACTAGGATAGTTTATCTGTGACCAAAAACTTCCATTCAATCAACTCAGCTTGGTATTTAGAATGAGGTTTGAAGTACTTTCAGAATCCATGATTACAGAACCAAGTTTGGAGTGGTCTTAAATCTGGAGATCAGCCCAAAAATCCAGCCAAGGCTTATGAATTAAAAAATGTTAAACAAAATTGCATTGCGAAACTGCATAAGCACCCACGACTATTGAACTCAGTTGTAGTCGTTAAGTATTCAAAAAAAAAAAAAAAAAAAAAAATTATTATTCTGCAGCCCAAACTGAGCTTTGAAATATTTTGTAAAAAAAATTCTAAATAATAGAACAATGTCTTGATTTCAACAATTCATAAAAATCCTGATTTTAGAACTGATCTGAGACTCTGAAATTTAAAATTTTAAATTTAAAATTTAAGTCTGGATAAAGAAACTTTGAAAACTCAGACTTGAAGTGTTTAGCTTTGACCTGTTAATATTCTAAGACAAAATCTGTCATCACAGAGTTCATACTGGACTTAAAAATATTTTTTTAAAAATTCAAAATCTTAGGTTTTGCTCGAGCAAAAAAAAAACACTATTGGGAGTATTAGGATCAACCGAGGCCAGTCATTTGGTCAAAAAAAAAAAAAAAAAAAAAAAAAAAAAAAAAAAAAAACAAATCCATTAAAACTCTCCAGTCTATTAATTAAAAAAAAAGCGACTACAGTACTTCAAGCTAAAATAATCCGAAAACCTGATTATGGCGTCAAAAAAAAAAATATAAAACTTAAAAAAAATCTGAAAAATGTTTTGGATTTTTAGAGCTGAGTTATTTTAAAAAATCCAAATTATATATTCCTTAAACTAATTTTAACAAGTTAAAAAACAGTAAGTTCGGCCGGGACGAACTTTGAATATCCTCCACCATTTGGAATGAATTTGGAAATTTTCAAAAAATAAAATCCGTTAAAAATTCTGTTAAAATCATAAAAATACTGAATATAGCCGTTATATTGGGCTCTATACGACGGAGACCTACATAGGCATAAGCCATTACCATATTCAAATTCGAAACTTGAAATAAACGGTGAACAATTTAGATAAAAATCATCAAAATATCGTTTATAGGGAGCTACCGTTATATCGGAGCTATGAGATGACCTGGACCAGCATAGACAATTTTCTGTCACAGGCTGTAGCATCCATTACGAACTTCAAATACGACATCTCAAACAATTTCGTTGTATATTGTACCTAAAATCGTCAAAATACCGAATATCAGGAGGTACTGATATATGGGGCCTATACGAAGACTTGGACCTGCATAGTTATTTTCTGTTACAGACTGTAGTTACGAACTTTAAACGCCAAATTTGAAATAATTCCGGTGAATAATGTCGCAAAAATCAACAAAATATCGAATATCGGGAGATATCGTTATATGGGGACTATACGAAGACGTGGACCTACATGACCCATTTTCAATACCAAAAGTCCTGCAGATATAATACACATTTGAGTAAAATTTTATCAACGTACTTCATTTCGTTCGGAAGCTAGAGTGATTTCCACACACAGATAGATGGATGGAAGGACGGACATCGCTAAATCGACATAGAATTTTATGCTGATCAAGAATATATATACTTTGTGGGGTCTAAAATGTATATTTCGAGGTGTTACAAACGGAATGACAAACTTAATATATATCCTCCATACTATGGTGGAGGGTATAAAAACAGTCATACTATAAAAAATAAATAAATAAATAAATGTTTAAAAACAAGGGGAACTTGAAAGATGAGGTATTTAAGAAAATAACGTCCGACTTCAAATATGTTCTGGAACCTAAAAGTCTAAAATTAGGGTTGGTATTGAAAAAAACATTAGGAAATGAATAAAACAAATTTTTGAGCCTAAATTGGGATTATGAATATTTTAAAAATCTCTTTTATAGAGTCTGCCTTGAGCAATGCTAGAATTTTGAAACGATTCGTAAAAAAAACATTAATAAATATAATGCTTGGCCTGGAATTAGAAAATTTCTAAATATTTACAAAAATAACCTACGGTTTTAGAGTTCAATTCCAATTCATTGGAATGAGAATGTATTAAAAAAATTAAAAATATAAATAAAAATCGTGTGGTTTTTGAGTTAAGTTTTTTAAAAAAATCAGAATTTTGCTGTTGCAAAATGGTCAGGCTTTTCAAACTGGCCTTACAGTTTTTTGAGAAATGTATGATTTGAAAAATTATCTGCAACCTTGAAATCTATTACGAATCTAATACCGAGTCGAAAGAATAAGGATTATTAAGCCTATATTGAGATTTTAAATGTTCCATAATTTACATTCAAAGAATCTTGCCTGAGCTGAGCTTGGGTTTAGAAAACATTAGCAAAAACTCAATAATTGTAATGTTTGGTCTGGAATCAGAAAAATATTCAAAAAAAATCCACCTTTAAAAAATTAAGATTGGGCTCTTCGAAATATTGAAAAAATCCAGGTTATTGAAGAATTTTAAAGGGTTTGTTTTCTATTTAAAAAAATCAAAACCTGACTTAAAACGGTTTTTTAAAAATATCTGAAGCCTGAAAAATTCTTTTGAACCTTTAAAACTATTTTTCTAAAATTAACTTTGGATCTTGGCACGTGTGAATTCAAAAATTAAGAACATTCACCCAGACTCCATGAAAATCCCAGGCTAGAAAAAAGAAATCCTTGACTTTGGATCTATTGATTATAGATCTTAAATAAAATCCCTCTATAGGTCCCAGAATTTTAGTTGTACCACAACTCTGTGAGGCGTAATCGTCTAGATTTGTTCCATACCCCATATTCCACTGTTTTGTATTTCCCCTCGTCTGTCAATATTCTTCACTAATCTGACACATATTTTAAATTTCAGAATTTTTATTTTGCTAGATTTTATTTTAAAACTTTGCTCTAATCTTGAATAATATTGCATTTCATTCGTCATGCTTACCACCACAAATATCAAACAATTTGCCAAAGTGTTTCTTGGTATATTCCAAAATCTCAAGGCGTTTCGAAAACTTCCTTATGTTTTGAAACTGGAATTTTTTAAGGTTTTATTTTCGTTTTTTAGTTGTTTTTTTTTAATGCGAAAAGGTTAATTTCAAGTCGGTTTTCTTACATAGAATGTCTGTGTGCGCTGGTTAATGCCAATGTGAAAACAAAAGACTTAAGACACAAACTTCCAATGCTCTTTGGGAAGGGAACAAAAAAAATATTTTTTTTTGCGAATTTTGGGTAATGTAAGGAAGAGGATTGATTTGAGGAATTATGACACTTTCTTTCAGTATAACACTTTGTATAACACTTGAATCCTTTTTTATGCCACAAAATTAATTTGTCATTTGGGGGAACATTTTTTTTCGTCTTTATTTATTTTTTTTTCTTTTTAATATTGTTTCCTGTTGAACACTTTGTTTTTTTTTGTAATTTTTTTTTATTAAAAATCTTAAAATTTCATTAAAAATTATTTACTTTAATTTTTTTTTGTTAAATAAAAAATCTGCAATTTTTTCTTTTGTTCGTTGCTTCAGTTTTTTTTTTCTTCTGAATTTGAATTTAATACAAAAATGTTTCTATATTTCTTTAATGCTCGAGCGAAGATGAGCCTTATCCCGAGAGTAGAAGTTCCAGTCACTTCTGAGTTTTGGAGACGTCCGTACACGTTCGTTAGTCGCGTTTGAATGTATCATCTGGCAAAAACATCCACCAACTTTAGGTGATTTTTCAAACCTTGCTTTTTTGTGCAAAGAAATTGTTTGACGCTGGGCTGAGTGCTGGTGCTTTATGTTGTTGTTGGTGGTGGTGGTGTTGTTGCGGCTGCTGTTGTCTCAGTTGTTAGTTGGGTTGGTTGGCTGGTTGATGATGCTGTTGCTCGCTGGCTGGCTGGCTAGCTCTGTGGCTCTTCTTAATATTTTTTTCAGCTGAGGATTTTTTCCAATTGAAATTTGAAAAATAAAAAAAGAAACGACAACAGCAACAGACATAATAACAATCAGCAAGAAGATGAAGAAGAAGCAGCAGTACAAGAAGAAGAAGATATATGTATAAACAACAAAAACAACAACGACAACTGAAAATAGCAAAGCCAGTCAAAACAAAACAATAGATCGACCCCACCACCATTATGGGTTGAATGGTGAGGGGAATCCAACGAGGTGGCTTAATGATCATTGCGATAATGAAGATAATGACTATGATGATGATGTTACTGTTAATGTCTGTGAGTAACATAAACTTCATTGCCATAATGATTGAGATCATTATGGTATTTTTGATAATGATTTTATGAGGATTATGAGGCTAATATTATTAAGGGGACATCCCGGACCTTAGGCGTGGATTTTTTAAAGAATTTTTAAAACCCACATTCCAGGCCATAGGCGTGGATTTTTTAAAGAATTTTTAAAATCCACATCTCAGACCATAGGTGTGGATTTTTTAAAGAATTTTTAAAATCCACATCTCAGACCATAGGCGTGGATTTTTTAAAGAATTTTTAAAACCCACATCCCTGGCCATAGGCGTGGATTTTTTAAAGAATTTTTAAAACCCACATCCCTGGCCATAGGCGTGGATTTTTTAAAGAATTTTTAAAACCCACATCCCTGGCCATAGGCGTGGATTTTTTTAAGGAATTGTTTAACCCCACTTCATAGGCCATAGGCGTGGATTTTTTAAAGAATTTTTAAGGCCAACTTACCAGGCCATAGGCGTGGATTTTTTAAATAATTTTTAAAACCCCAGGACATAAGCGTGGATTTTTTAAATAATTTTTAAAACCCACATCCCAGGCCATAAGCGTGGATTTTTTAAATAATTTTTAAAACCCACATCCCAGGCCATAGGCGTGGATTTTTTAAATAATTTTTAAAACCCACATCCCAGGCCATAGGCATGGATTTTTTAAAGAATTTTTAAATACCATCTACCAGGCAATGAGCGAGGATTTTTTAAAGAATTTTTAAAAACCAGCTACCAGGCCATAGGCGTGCATTTTTTTAAGAATTTTTAAAACCCACATCCCAGGCCATAGGCGTGGATTTTTTAAGGAATTTTTTAACCCCACTTCATAGGCCATAGGCGTGGATTTTTTAAAGAATTTTTAAGGCCCACTTACCAGGCCATAGGCGTGGATTTTTTAAATAATTTTTAAAACCCCAGGCCATAAGCGTGGATTTTTTAAATAATTTTTAAAACCCACATCCCAGGCCATAGGCATGGATTTTTTAAAGAATTTTTAAATACCATCTACCAGGCAATGAGCGAGGATTTTTTAAAGAATTTTTAAAAACCAGCTACCAGGCCATAGGCGTGGATTTTTTAAAGAATTTTTAAAACCCACATCCCTGGCCATAGGCGTGGAGTTTTTAAAGAATTTTTAAAACCCACATCCCAGGCCATAGGCGTGGAGTTTTTAAAGAATTTTTAACAGCCACATCCCAGGCCATAGGCGTGGATTTTTTAAAGAATTTTAAGGCCCACTTGCCAGGCCATGGGCGTGGATTTTTTAAATTATATTTAAGGCCCACTTGCCAGGCCATGGGCGTGGATTTTTTAAATTATATTTAAGGCCGACTTGCCAGGCCATGGGCGTGGATTTTTTAAATTATATTTAAGGCCCACTTGCCAGGCCATGGGCGTGGATTTTTTAAATTATATTTAAGGCCGACTTGCCAGGCCATGGGCGTGGATTTTTTAAATAATTTTTAAGGCCCTTTTATCAGGCCATAGGCTAGGATTTTTAAAGAATTTTTAAGGCCCACCTACCAGGCCATAGGCGTGGATTTTTAAAGAATTTTTAAGACCCTTTTATCAGACCATAGGCGCGAATTTTTAAAGAATTTTTAAGACCCTTTTATCAGGCCATAGGCGAGGATTTTTAAAGAATTTTTAAGGCCCACCTACAAGGCCATAGGCGTGGATTTTTTAAAGAATTTTTAAATCCCACATCCCAAGCCTTAGGCGAGGCTTTTTTAAAGAATTTTAAAACCCACATCCAAGGCCATGGACTTGGATTTTTTAAAGAATTTTTAAGACCCACATCCCAGGCCATAGGCGTGGATTTTTAAAGAATTTTTAAATCCCACATCCCAAGCCTTAGGCGAGGCTTTTTTAAAGAATTTTAAAACCCACATCCAAGGCCATGGACTTGGATTTTTTAAAGAATTTTTAAGACCCACATCCCAGGCCATAGGCGTGGATTTTTAAAGAATTTTTAAAACCCACATCCCAGGCCATGGACGTGAATTTTTTAAAGAATTTAAAACCCATATCCCAGGCCCTATGCGTGCATTTTTAATTAATTTTTAAAGCCCACTTACCAGGCCATAGGCGTGAATTTTTAAAGAATTTTTAAAACCCATATCCCAGGCCCTAGGCGTGCATTTTTAATTAATTTTTAAAGCCCACTTACCAGGCCATAGGCGTGAATTTTTAAAGAATTTTTAAAACCCATATCCCAGGCCCCATGCGAGCATTTTTAATTAATTTTTAAAGCCAACTTACCAGGCCATAGGCGTGAATTTTTAAAGAATTTTTAAAACCCATATCCCAGGCCCTAGGCATGGTTTTTTTAAGAATTTTTAAAACCCACATTCCAGGCCATAGGCGTGGATTTTTTAAAGAATTTTTAAGGTCCAGTTATTAGGCCATAGACATGGATTTTTTAAAGAATTTTTAAAACCTACATCCCAGGCCATAGGCGTGGATTTTTCAAAGAATTTCTAAGCCCCAATTACCAGGTCATGGGCGGGGATTTTTTTAAAGGATTTTTCGTTACAATGTTACCGTCACAATCTTCATCATCCTCAGCCATAATGATCATTATGAGCTATTCATTGTTTTGTTTTTCATTATAATTAGTTGTTATATTGCTTTAACATTTGTTTTACCTCCGAGAGAGAGGAAATAGACAACTTCCAATAAAAGCAAAAAATATATGAGCAAAAACAAAAACAAATAAAACTTCATTAGTAAACAAATACCAGCAACAACACCAGTTGGAATTTTTATTGCTTTTGGGCTCCGAAGACGCTCTCGCTACAGCGCCTCGGCTGTGTGGCAGGTAGCATCTTCAAAAGTGTTGTTATGTTTCTGTTAATTATTAACGAAGATTGAGATGGAGAATGAAAGAGAACAGTTAAGAGTGTTGCTGAGAGGCAGTGCTATTCAGTTAAGAGTACATTAACATTGGACTGTTAATAACAGAAAGTATTGTCGGCGGAGGAAGCAGTGCATTAGTTATGAATGAAAAAATTACAACCAAGGAAAAACATCTGTAAATACTAAAAACCCCAAACCTGCTGGTATGTGGGTTTTAAAAAATCCACGCCTATGGCCTTAAAATTCTTTAAAAACCCCACGCCTTTGGCCTTTAAAATTCTTTGAAAAATCCACGCTTTTGGCCTTAAAATTCTTTAAAAAATCCAAGCCTTTGGCCTTAAAATTCTTTAAAAAATCCAAGCCTTTGGCATAAATATTCTTTAAAAATTAAACGCCTTTGGCCTTAAAATTCTTTAAAAAATCCACGCCGTTGGCCTTAAAATTCTTTAAAATTCCACGCCTATGGCCTGGGATGTGGGTTGTAAAAATTCTTTAAAAAATCCACTTCTATGGCCTGAGATGTGGCTGTTAAAAACTCTTTAAAAAATCCACTTCTATGGCCTGAGATGTGGCTGTTAAAAATTCTTTAAAAAATCCACGCCTATGGCCTGGGATGTGGGTTTTAAAAATTCTTCTTCTTTAAAAATCTAAGCCTATGGCCAGATAACAGGGTCTTAAAAATTATTTAAAAATCCACGCCTACAGCCTGATAACAGGGTCTTAAAAATTCTTTAAAAAATCCACGGTTATGGTTTGGGATGTTGGCTCTAAAAATTCTTTAAAAATCCACGCCTATAGCCTGATAACAGGGTCTTAAAAATTCTTTAAAAAATTCACGTTTATGGTTTGGGATATTGGCTCTAAAAATTCTTTAAAAAATCCACGCCTATGGTTTGGGATGTTGGCTCTAAAATTCATTAAAAAATCCACGCCTATTGCATGGGATGTGGGTCTTAAAAATTCTTTAAAAAATCCACACCTATGGCCTGATAACAGGGTCTTATGGTTTGGGATGTTGGCTCTAAAAATTCTTTAAAAATCCACGCCTAAAGCCTGATAACAGGGTCTTAAAAATTCTTTAAAAAATCCACGGTTATGGTTTGGGATGTTGGCTCTAAAAATTCTTTAAAAATCCACGCCTATAGCCTGATAACAGGGTCTTAAAAATTCTTTAAAAAATTCACGTTTATGGTTTGGGATATTGGCTCTAAAAATTCTTTAAAAAATCCACGCCTATGGTTTGGGATGTTGG